CACATCCAGCATCAACCAATCTGTGACAGTCCTAAAAAGAAAACATATTTTCTCAATAGCACAGTAAGAAATGACACTAAAATTAGGGAATTAAAAATAGATTAATATTGCCCATTAAAATATCAGAGTCTTAAATAACCCTCACATCAAATTGTCAAAGACAAATAGAGATAGCAACTCAATGGCCTAGAATGGCTACCTAGTATCCTAGGACCATCATTAAAACTCACTATTGGTACTTTAAGATTAATACTGATAAAACCTTTATCATTTGAAGTTGGATTTTATATATATTTTAAAATTCTATGTCATAACAATAACAAAAGACTAAAGCAAAGCTTTCTTTTCTATTTCTTCTTCCACTTCCCACAACAAATTACATATTAAATGTGATATGACTTCATCAACCCTTTAAAAGCTGTTAGTTTGCTTTACAGACGGTCTCTATTTTCAGATTCTACCCCTCTATCAGGAATGAAAAAATTATACTTCTACAAGTCATTTTACAGGTAGGGATAGGACTGTTATTTAAAGTCAGAAAGGGGGAGACCATCTACATTAATCTTTACAATTTCAAGATACCAATTAATCCCCTAATCTTTAGTTATAGGTGCACTATCACATCCCATTGCAAGTTATAGATTTTGCATAAAATAAATAGATAATATAAGATAAAAGTGCAAAGTCCTAATACCAAGACTGTAACAGCTACATGCTTGTGCTGTACCTGCTGAGTACAGGCAGTACCAAGAAAACTATCTCAGTCTCATAATGTAAAAAAGTTGAAAAGTATTAGTTATTACAGATATTGCAGAAACCAGATGATGCATATATGCTCAAAAAACCTGTAAATCTTGAGGACTGAAGGGACAAATCCTACACCTATCTGCACTCCACAAAATTTCTATTATACTATACTAAGTGATAAAATAAGAGTTTGAGGTGCAACAACAAAGAGGCAAAATAGAAGGTAGGATTGTAAAAAATGCAAATACCATGAAAAAATAGTGCATTTAATAAAGCTTAACCCCATCTAAATTCTAAGGGAAGAAGAAAATACTCCTAACCATCAGTTTCCTGACTCCTAAGTGGGAATGTGTATTTTGGCCTTTTATTCTCTTACAGCCAGTAGTAAATGTCAGCAGTGGTATCGATCTCATGGAAAAAGGGAGAATTGGAGAAGGAAGCATGCAAGGATTTGCATCTGCATTTATAGGTGTACATCAAATAGACAACGAGAAATACAGATCTTAGGTATATATCACTCATGTTTCTCCCTCTAAAATAATAGCTATATCAGTAAAGTAGGCAGATAAGAAGAAAAAAATCTCAAACAAAATAAAAAATGTAAACAGTTTCATTATAGAAGTACTTGTTTATCTAAAGTCACTTAAATGTTAAAATAAGTATTAAAACTTTTACATTTACGAGGGACTACAGAGGAAAAGCAAGCATGTTTTAAATGATGTTTGTAGTGTTATTCATCACTTTTGAGATGAAATTCCCACTTGAAGCATACTCTGGAAATATAAAATTGATTTCCTCCTTCTGGTAAATAAAAGTAAAATGATATTCTGCTAGCTCCAAGAAACTGCTCTGCTGCAGTTTCACCACTGTAGCTATATGTCTGTCAGTTTTCTGTTATAAACAAAGCTGATAAAGTTCATGAGGGGGTAACACAGAAGCTCTAAGTCAAAAAGTCCAGAAAGACTGAGTTCTTTTCCGTGACAGCCAGACAGGAAGGGGGGAAACAAGAAGTTATTTGAAATGTCCCTAATTCTATTGCCTCTTTGGTTCTTTCTTCCTAGGGAAGTTAGCAGTGTATGAATTTTTAATGTGAACAAAGGCTCAAGGAAGTCCTACTGAAAAAACAAACAAGACATTTACAACAATAATATTGACAGATGTATATCTTCCTGGAACAAAGAACTAAAGAAAAAAAACACTTCCAATGCAGCGGCAATTCAGTTTAACACAACATATGACAGTTCTGAAGGAACTGTTTTCTTCCACTGCATAAATAGTTTTAGAGAATAACCCCTTCTTAAGAATCAAAAAATCAGTGGTTTCATGAACACTGGACTTTTCAAAAAAACCCAACGATTCAACAAAGGCAGAAACTGCCACAAAAAGGAGTTCTGATCTCATCTGAATGGAGGCAAAGTGAGTCATTAAAAGGAAGACATAATACAAGCCAGATTTCCTGCCCAGCTTCCTCTGACCTCTGTTGGCAGAGCTATTTTCCTCTTGCGGTAAGAAGTGTGCCTAGAAATTGTTCTGCCCACTGTGCAAGCTCTGTCAGGAGAATACAACTGACATGCCTGTATGGCAGGAAGGATCACATCAGGTATGCTCATCAACACACATGCTTGACCATACTTTAATTGAAATGGCTTATGGGGAGTCCTCCAACCCACTTTAAAAATCTCACTCCAACAGCACCCCAGCATTAAGTATTGCTTACACCTTGCTTGATCACCTGACTATTCTTTAATATAAAGTATCATCTTGTCACAATTAAAATATAGAAAACTGAATGATCTTAAGCCTGATACTATAAACTACTATATCTGCACAAGAGGGTGTGCTGTGAATTTCTCTCATACCTTAACACTAAATTTCCTGACTTCCACACAGTTAAATAAACTGTTTCCTGTTATCCTAATACAACCTCTTGTGAGAAAATACCTGAACGGTTATCTTTTACTGAGAATCATCTTACACAGCCAAATATCAAAACAAACATTTGTTGTTGTTCTCTAATACTTTCCTATTGGGTACTTACATGACTACTGACAGGTTTGATATTACTGTATTGGAACCTATTTTCGTGTGACAGCCGCAGTGCAGATATTTGCCGATACACTGGTGCTGAATGCTAATTGCTCCCACAGTCTGGGAACAATTGCCACCTACGTCACTTATCACTAGAATGAACAGAAAGGCCTTAACTGCCATATCATGTGCTTTGTGCTTCCTGATGGAATAGCTAGAAACCACTAGGAAATAATAGGAGGAATAAAATAGTGAAACCAGTAAGAATTTCAAGGGTTAATGATAAAAGCAATTTCAAAGTCACTTAAGGAACTCATTACTCTTCTTCATACATACAATTTTAATGCTGTTCAAAAAAGACCTTGATTATTTGTATGAAAACTGAATTGAACACAGGTTATGAATAAAATGCATTAAAAGATGTAATGTGGGATATAGGCAGGAAACAAAGCATACGTTTCTCTTAGTTTGTATATTCTGCTATATCACTTGACAATATTCTCATAGAACAACTTTCTGTAAAAATAAATATTTTCAGCTATTAAAGTTTATATGCTACACTGTAATTTTGATAATTAAAAATCCATAGAATAGATGTAAAGTAGGTACTTCTCTGATGCTAATTAAACAGCAGGCTCAAATAGTATTTCCTGTAAATAAAAGCATCTCTTCTTTTTTCTCCAAATAATGATCATCATGGTACACTCATAATTTAAAAAAGAAAGTGTGAAAGAAGAAACAGAAAAGAAAAATAATAAAAACACTTTTTAAGAAGATTTGTGCACTCAACATTTTCAACACCTTCTAATTAAAATACACAAAATACTAAAATTAAGATAGAGAGAATAAAGGCTGAATAGAGCGTCATAAAATATCCCTAGCTGTTGCCAAAGAATTATCTCTGTCATTTAATGATGATGAAGCCAAATAACGGTTGCTGGAATGGAAGCACGCTGATGAAGAAGGCTTTCAAATTGAAGTGAGGGATATCACAATTTATATTGTTCTTAGTAGTTCTTCTATCTGTACAATTTCTCTCAAATTTAATTACTTTCTGTATTAGATGTCCCTTTCAACAGATAGTTGTGTGTTGATCACAGATATTGCTTTAATATGCTTGTGTTCTGTTGTATGTTAAATTATTTGTTCATACAGCTAGCGACTTCTAAGCAGTTCACAAAATATCAGAGGATCAGTAATTAATAACAAGGTAAACTTCTAGGGGAAATTAGCTTGTTGTGAAGAAAATTTTTCTGGTATTCGGTCTAGTTTGTGCAAAATCTGATAGAAGCATTCAGCCAACTTAAATAAACAGATTGTGTGTTAAAAACTGTTAGCACATACTGAATACTTGCATTATTTGAAAAAAGTACATTAAGTTTAACAGTATATTAAAAAAAATGGATAAGGTTATTTATTAAGCATAAATCAATTCTAAAAGGCATGGTATGACATAACTTTAACTTACGTAGGGAAGGCAAAGAGATACACAGTATGATGATTTGTGGACATAATGAACTAAATGTATTTTTTTCCAGTTAAAAGAGAAATAGTGTAATTAAAGTACTAGAAGTATAGTTTATGCATTTAAAAATAAGACAAAAATTAATCTTACTCAGATGTATTTAGTATGTTTTTAGAGAGACTTAATTTTACTTCATTCTTCACCAATAAATCATCTTTTCAGATCTATTTTTTTATTATATACACTATTTAAATAATGTCCCTATATTACTGTCCACAAACACATTTAAAAATTCTTAAAGTAAATAAACAAAGAAGTCTGTTTGCCATTCCTAGGTTGATAGCCAGCTAATTAATAAGCATGGATTTAGGGGTAATTCCATTATATTGTATAAATGATCCAGGAAGTAAATACGTGTGTGCATATATACATAAACATACATATACCATGAGCTACTCTGTCTACAAACACACCAGCGTGTATCCTTGCTATTTATTAATCAAATTAAATTTTAAAAAGACTATTTTACAAGATACTTTGCTTTCATCAGAAATTTTTAAAAGACAACAACAAAAAAAAAAAAAAGAAGAAAAATGTTTTTCAGTCAATTTACCAATTTCTAACAAGGGTTAGATATCTATGGTTATGGGTGTATATATGTGAATGAACGAATAAATCCTTAACCCACCATATCTTTTTCTCCAGTTTGCAAGCTGTCACCCGTGAAAAGTATGGTGTAGATGGTAGGATGATACTGTACCTGATTGGCTCTGGAGGTGGTCATGGGATCAGATGGAGAGGACTTGGTGGTAGTTGGGGAAGATGGCAATGTCTGGGAACAAAGCAGTTCAGGAGCAAATCAACCTTTACAAGCCTTAGACTGAACAGTTAAAAAAATAAACCAACAAAAGTAACATAACTAGAAAATTAAAATAAATAAAAAATGCCTAAGACAAAAATCTTTCTCCTACTCATTGGAACTTAATGGAATTTAAAGTCAACTGGATAAATAATGCATGTAAATATGCATGCTTATGCATGTAAAAACAAATTCATGACTTGAAATCAAGATGGTGAACTCACATAAATACTCAAAAATATGCTGACCACATGAGGAATATATTCTTTTCTCTCTCTTCCTCTTGGGGATAATGAAGACTATAGTAAATGAAAATTCCAGCAAGTTCAATGAGCACCCTAGAAACAGTTATCAGTCTACAAACAAACAGGGCCAAATTCTGAAGGAAGTTAGAGACATTTACTTTGGCACCTTACAGTGCACCATTCTATAGCATGGACTATAGCCAGCAAACTGTTCTGTTTCTTACAATAATTTCACTGAAGCTACTGATTTTTTAGTGATAGACTAACTGCTAAAATATTCATTTATCTCTTATAATCAAGAGGCAGGTGAAAAAATGTAAACATCAATCTCATGATGGATGAACATGCAACTAATACCTTCACAACAAATTATGACAATATATTTATGATTAGCGTTAAAAATGTTCATTTAGTTGAGCAAAAGGTTAATAACTTATCAAGCCTGTGTTCAAAATAAACACAAAAAAGAATTAAGAGTCATATTTATTGATCATGTTTTCTAAATAATATACATACACTTAACATTAAATCTTGAACACATCAAAAAAAACACTGCTCTGTTTAGAATTTTTATGTACACATTTATCTCTTTAAAGAACTAGATCCTGACAGAATAACTCTTCTTTTCTTTTCTTTTTATAAATGTAGTGAAAATGTAAAATTCCAATTTTCAAAACACACATACAGTACTTATTCAAAGCATGTTTTTTGACATCTTTGTAATATATAAATAAGAAAATAACCAAAATTACACTACTTTTACTTTAAAAAATAAGATGTTAAAATGCTATACAATGTGATTTATCATATGATGATATAATCACTAACCAAAACTATTTAGAAATAAATGAAGCAAAACTTCACACTTTTAACAGTTCTGTTACTTACAATCATTGACAGTCCCTCATAAAATAGGTATACATACTTTTGCACTAAAACTCTTAATGCATATGAGAAAGCTGGGACACTGTGAATGCATAAAGGTGTGTATTAGCAAAATATGGGCTTGTACATATGCACACACAAATATTTTAGCTGTATGTTATGCAACATGAAGATCCATTTTTTCATAGTTGGTACATAAACAAGCAGCCAAAACAGGGAAAAAATATCTTAAGAAACAGACCCTTATTTTGTGTTTCATGTAATTCATGTTATAAATCAATTAAAAAAAACCCCAACATATACAGCTCAAGCATCAACTTTGACACTTTCAAGAGACTTAAGTAAAAAATACTACCATGTACAGGGCATTATAAAAAATACGTAGCTTCACAAAATGTTATTGGTTAGCAGATGCTATACATTGTGACAATCAAGACAATTATAAAGGATTCTCCCATGAGTTTCTGTACAGAACATGGGTACGTTTGCAAGGGGCTAGAATTATTTAGAAAAAGAAATGTCAGTTTCCACAAAAGTACGGGGCTAATCCTATTCAATTACAGAATTATACTTCTGATTTTAGTGGGATATTGCAGTATCTCATCTCATCTCTCTCACCAAAGTTCAAAATTGCAATGAACTGATTTTCATAATTTAAGCTTAAACTAATGGGAAAAAAAAAACCTCCAACCAAACAGAATGGAGGACTGTAACTTATGCCAATAGGTTTTCTTTATTATAGCTAACTCTCATCCTGAACAACAACAACAAAAAATTGTTACCGCTCCCCAGCAAAACTCTGAAAATATATTTTGACTAAAATATTTCAGACCTCTGATAGTTTGTGTGTTGTATATTATTTTTGTATGCTAGGCTAATTAATTAAAAAAAAAAAAGTTTCTTCTTCATAGGTGTTACTAACTAGTGGATTTATAAGAAAATATGTATAATACTTCACACTGAATAACGACCTAATCACTGATACCACAAGTAATTTAGGAAACTGGAAGCATCTCAGTTTTCAATTCATATCAATCTTCCTAAAGCACAGAAATGTATGGCTGTGGTGAAAAAAGAGTGACTGTTGAACTATAATATCTATCAAGTAGAAGCATTTCACTATTTCATTTTATCAAAAACTTGTTTAAAATACAATGGAAAAAAAGAGAAAAACATTTAAGAGCAAACCAACTGTATTAACAAACAAGAATCAAGTAGGGGCATACACATTTTTTCAAAATATACATACCAGCACCAAAATACCGAAAATAGCAATAAGGTTTTTTGTTTGTGTTTTTGATATTTTTTTTTTGTATATCAGGCTGCTTGTGTTTGAGACTTCATCTATCCTACTTTGTTTACTGACAGAACTGCTTTTATTTTCTTTTATATATAACTATACATATATATATATAAAAGTATATATCTATATATAAAAAGCCCTGACAATATTTTGTAAAAATTCATCCCTTTTCATGCTTCTGTATGATTCTAGATACACATTAATTTCTGTAGACACACCTATTTATTTCTTCAATATAAAAGTAATTTCTCAAAAATAAAGAAACACAGACATTTGGATTTTGTATTGAATTTCCACTGGCTGATAAGTAATTTATTGATACATTCTTAATTGCCTTGCAAGAACTTTTAGGCAAAATTACCTCTTAAAGAAGGTTGGACAGAGCTCAATAATTCTGATTTATTACACAGCATAGAATCTTTTTTTTAGAAATTGGCAAGTGTTTTGCATTAGGCAAGCACTTGAATTTAGTACTTATTAGGCTTCTGGGAATGAGATGTATAAAGTGATTAGAAATCATAAGATGAATTTACATTTCAGAGTTTCAATTTTTGACTGAAACATGCATACTATAATTGAAGCTTTCCGGAAATTGCAGGTTGACTGCTGGCAAGGTTATAGAAAAAGCTAGTCAGAATTTCTGCCACATACCACTTCTAAGACTCATGGGGGTTCTTTAAAATATATCTTGAATTGTAAAGTTCAAGCCATGGTGAAATTGGTCTTCTCTGTTTTCGCAAATATTATTTCCTTTCCTATTACTAATGAGACAATGAATGGAAGACTATCTTTACAGGTAAGAAAGTTTTTATTTTAAGCTTCTAGAACAGATGTTTAAGAAAACAGATTTTAAGGAATAAAAAAGGAGCTTAATTTTAGAAATAAAATTCTGTTTGAGTTGTAGCATTTTCTGCAAGCACAAGAAAATACTTCTGTTGCTCACAAGACTTGATTATACTGTGAGAGACTGCTCTCAGACTGCACAACATATTAAAGGGTGCAGAAAGATGGTCAAAGCATCACACTTCCATGCTTCATACTTTTGAGTAACAGGGTGAAGATACAGCTGTTATCACAGCAGTATAGAATACACAAACTCCATCTGCACAGTGTTCCAAAAGGTCTCTAAGCCTTCTTTCAATGACTTCACAAATTGCCTAATGCAGAGCTGTGTATAAATGACAAGAGTCACACCCTTATCTATAGGCTAAAAAAAAATTCAATATTTGCACCGTACATAATAAATATTGTACTGAGACAGTTAACTTAATCCTCAGTACCTATTGGTATATTTATATATAGAAGAGTAGAAAGAAAAGACAGAAAAAGAAATACCATTTGAAAACAGGGTTAGAGACATGAAAGCATAAAAAGAACAACATTTAAATGTGAAGATGAAACTGCATTTACAGCTTACCAATTTATAGTTTCTCACTACAGGGCTTGCCAAACAAAGGAAATCCTGGTAATCACATTACCCACATTAAATTAATATTAATACTAAGCTAATACTGACTCTCAGTCTTGCATATATTAATATTGGTGCTTTTAAATCATTGACATTAATGTGATGACAAAACTAATTTGCTTAAGCCAATATTTTAATGCATTTTAAGAAAAGGTGGTATCTTTTTTGAATTGTATTAAATAGTTGAAAACCTGCAACTAAAATGAGAAACAGAGCACTCCAAGGCCCCATTGTGCTGAACATCATAAAAAACGGACTTACTAGATTTTCAACAGTATCAGAGACGAGCCTTTCTAAAGAGACCACTTGCTTTGTTAAACTTATTGAGTCATCTTTTCATTTCCTGCAACTCCTTTAATCTGTAACTTTGGCTAATTATCATCTCAACGATGACTGTATAAATACATAAACACATTACAAAAATAAAATTTTGGAAAATAATCAAGGAATAATTTATTTACTATCTAGATTGTAAAAAGGCTACTCTGACGACAACAGTGATCTAATTTTACTTGCTACCTTTTCACTTGTGCAAAGAACAAAAAAAATACATTCCAATGATATTTCATCCTCTCTGCTTTTGGTTTTGCTTTTGTGTAAAACAATGCATAGGGCATAGGGCAATACAAAAAGACTAGGAAATCTAGCATATATAGATGGAATGCTTATTTATAAATGTTTACAGAGGTAATTTATCTGCATTTATGGACTCTTGGGGACTTGTCTTTGAGAAAGGAAAAAAGTGTGCTAAGTATGATGTAAAAGAAAGATTATCTTGTGTTCTGTCATGGGACAAGAAAGGGTAACGAGCTTAAAGAAAAACAGCAGGTGCCTTTTTGGATCATCAGAGCAACTCTGGATGGAGGGAATGATTTAGGATGAAGATTACAGTAAAAGGGACAAAGAAGAATCAGGACCTCTTCTTCCCTCAAAACTTGTCACAGTAACATAGAACTACTACAACATCAGGTGTTGTTACATGGAAATACTGGAAAACTCAATTTAAGTTTCTCAAACACAGGCATCAAAACACATAAGAAGACATGGGTCAAAGATCTGTGTCAAAAAAACC